GTGCAAGCTAAACTGTGTAAGAGTGTGTCCTAGCAATTGTAAAAACTGTAGGATGGCAGAGTACCCTCTGACCCAATGGAACAACTCTACATATTTAACTCCATTACTTCAAGTGGTTTAAATAAGGGCAGGTTCAGACAGAGCGTGTTCCTGTCGTCCACTGTGCTGCTTTTGAATTGTTTTCTATGTAAACATGTCTTGCTGCTTTTCCAGCATCTCACGCATGAGTGTCCTTTTTTGAAGCATTGTAGTGTCAATGGAATTACAAAGATAAAGCAACCATTGCAATCGTCCCTTACCATTTATCACATCCTTACAACCGTTCTCACATTTACAGTATCTTACTATGATGGCTTGACAGCTAACACATGTGGTGAAAACGTGAGTTTAGCTTGCATGTCAAGTTCAGCATCTCGACTGAAAGCCAAGCATTCCATCAAACCCCTTCATCTTGTAAAAGCACCACCAATGATTACTCTTGTTTTACCTTGTTGTCTGTCTCTAGTTTGGCAAGTCTTCGAATTTTGGCTTGCGCTTTTGCAGTCAAATCTGATTTTTTTTTTTTCATGTAATGCACAGCCATGCTCCCACAACACCCTCTGGCTCAGGCTACAGTAGTCACACCCCAAACTCTCGCGATTGGTTGAGCTGGAAAGTGATTGACGGATCCCAAATGTTCTGATGGTGCCGGGGAGGCATAATGTTTACCATTTTGGCGAAGATATAAACCCATGAATGGTAGTCAGTTTACAATAAACTGGCTTAAGAGAATGTATTATGACCAAAATAAAAAATCATACAATCTTCACCTTTAAATAAAAGGTCAAATCAAAATGTTAAAGTTATACGTACTTTACGATTTTAACCCTCATCCATCACTCCCGAAACCCATAACAAAAGTGTCCCTCGCGGGTCAAAATGACCCGAAGGCCAAAAATGACACCAATTTTATTTTTGGTCCAGAAAGCTTATATTGGTCCATTTTTATAATTGTTTTTTTTTGTTTGTTTTTTTAATTCACATTAAATTCTGGATATTTTTATGAATATGAGCATATTTAATAAATTTTTTCACCAAAACAAAACAAAGAAAGACACAATTTCTGCATATATATATACTTAAAACATGATCATCCATCAGGACCTAGGTCACTGAGTGTCTCTGATGCCATCTGGTGGGGGAAAATTACATAACATTGCATTTTATGATTACAGCCACTAGAGGGGCCTATTGAATCCTATGGAGATTCTTAAAAGTGAAATGTTTAAAACTACACCAACTTGAGGCTTCATTAAGCTTTCAGATATATCTCAAGGCTTTCAGAACTAAAAACTATATATTGTTAAAAAAAAAAAAATGTTTTAATCCAAACACATGCATATTCATACAGATTCATAGATATGTAATAAATATAAAAGATACATTTAAAAATATAAATATGATATAAACTCATTGGTCTCCACCCCATCACTCAAATTTAACTGTGTTAAGTCACAAAAAAAATCCAAAATGACAGTAATTTCCCAGCAGAAACATCATACATGCTATAATGTGTTTCAGTGGAGTGTGTGTGCCATGTGTGTGTGTGTGTGTGAGTGTGTGTGTGTAGGTGTGTGAGTTTTTTGTGCATTGAGGACATTCTGCAGTCTCAGCCCTTTGTTTGGGTATGCATCTTTTTTTGGATTGTGTCAGATTTTGTATAGTCAAACAAATCAAATAAATGAAAAATGCTGTTTTTTTTGGACATGGTCTCCACCCCATCACTCAAATTTAACTGTGTTAAGTCACAAAAAAATTCCAAAATGACAGTCATTTCCCAGCAGAAACATCATATATGCTATAATGTGTTTCAATGGAGTGTGTGTGCCATGTGTGTGTGTGTGTGTGTGCGTGTGTGTGTGGGTATGTGAGTTTTTTGTGCATTGAGGACATTCTGCAGTCTCAGCCCTTTGTTTGGGTATGCATATTTTCTGGATTGTGTCAGATTTTGTATAGTCAAACAAATCAAATAAATGAAAAATGCTGTTTTTTTTGGACATTCCATTAATTCCTATGGCCGGGTCAAGATGAATGTAATACTTGTGTGTGTAATGCTTTGTTTATTGCACCCACATAGAATCCTCAAATCGACTCAAATATTGTTGTGTGTGCTCCATGCTCAAGTGTGATAAAAAATTTAATTCGTAAATTCCATGCTTTTCCAGTGGCGGGTCACTTTAGATACTTTTTTTATAGCACCCACTTAAACTGCTCGAATTCACTC